CGAAGTCGGAATTGTTTGCCCCATTCTCTAAATGAACCGGTGCTCCTCGTTTCTTTATTTACCTCGAGTTTGCCATTCTTCTTTACGTTCGCCAAAAAACTCATCTGGCTTTACAACTTTACTTCCCATCCGCCTTTATGGAAACTCGAAGATTCACATTTTCATAAAATTCAATACAAACAAACTATTTCGTACGAATAAATATTCCGCGAGCTTCGAATAAGACGGTAGAGCGATCTCGTTCCAATTTTCTTAATCCAGAAGCGAAGTTACGAGAAGATTAGTTTGATAGCGAACGTAAGAAAGCTTTGTGGCTGTCAGAATTTGCAAAAGCGATCGTCAGCGCAACCGTGCATAGAGAAACACTCCTAGACCCTGTCAAACGGAACTTGGGTTCTTCTTGTGCATGTGCTTACGCGCGTGTAGCGCGCATTGCCTTTGATGCGAGCCCTCATGACTCTAATCTGAAGTATGCTATATACACCAGCTGTTCGGAGTACATCAGACTTCCAAAGGAAGGATGTCGTAAAGGCTCTACGCTGCACCGCATTCACGGTTCACTGCTATCGAGTTTGAATGTCCCGGCCGAAGTTAATCGTTTATCACGTGAACTGTGAACGACTCCGTAGACCCTGTTACCAACACGCCAACCATGTTCGGATTCATGCACTTGATTCGCGGCACAATAGTCGCGAATCAATTGTTCCGAGCAACATGGATATGATAAAGGAAACATAAAATAAAGCGAAGAAAACTAAAGGTTTCTCGTTGGATAGCAGCTTTCTTTGGTCACCTGAAACCACAGCTTTAAAACAGATTTCAGTTACGTGTATCATTATTATGCCTACTAAATCTACATTAATGAATGTACATTGAGTATCGTCGAATCGTTAGGTAGCTCTGATGTACATACTATAGATATGCAAAGGCTTTATACGTATTACAGCATATACTCCCTTTGGGTGTCGGGATTGGGATACATCAAATCAGCGCATCTACAATTGTAGCCCAAAGTTTCAGTAGGATACTGAGTTACCAGTTCCATATATCCACCATGTTTGGTACGAAGCCTTTGTATACCTATAGTTTAACTATCTCTGCATGGGCAGTGCCCAGCTTAATTAACTACAATTCAATCAACAAACTAAAACTTTACCTCCAATGTAAGGAGAGCACTTACGTCGCGATGATTGCGTGTCGTAGACTGGCTCGGGTAGTGGATGCTAGGCATCCTGTCACCCCGAAGCTTAGAAAGGACTGAAGAATGCTCGCAACTTCAGTTATCCGCCATGATACCATTTCAGCCATGATGAAACTTTTGTAGCGCGATCAACTATTATCTCGAATGCTCGGAAGCTACTACCGTACTGAGACCGAAAGTTGCCGAGCATCCACGAACTTTTCGGTACCAGGGGATAGGCAGGTAGCTCGTGCTGGCTAATCCCCCACCAAAAATCCCCACCTAACTGTCGCGCTAAGTCAATGCTCTTCTTCGCGACTTTAGCCAAGGATAACAACTTGGTTCGAAAAACATACAAACATTATCTACTACTATTGGAACTCGGTGGACAACGGTTTACGTGTAACGAGGAGGTCACCGCCCAAACAGATGCCTATTTTGAGAAATAAATAATTTGTGTTTCTATCTTTTTCTAAGGACTTGTTGAACGACTTACTAATCCTGGTACATCGAAACGCGTAATATTCAGAGATTACCGTTCAAAGGTATTATATTGTAAACACACCAACGATCCACCAGCGTCTTGTCCCGAATCCAATAACGCGCTGAAAACGAAACCCGTGGAACTGGCAATCGCGACTGGAATATTTCAGGGTTGTGTTTCAATCCGCGATAAAAGGAAACGAAATATCGGAATTCGAGATGATAAGCGATGGAAACGGAACCGCGGGTGACGAGATTTAAATAAGATTACAACGACGCCGTCGCAGATTGAATTTATCGGTGACTGTATCGGCGAAAGAATCGAGAACGAAACGCGAAAAGAAGATCTGATTAAGGGCGAGAGAGCCCACCGGCGATGGAGGGCCGCTGATTTTATAACGATATAATTAACAGAAACGAAACGGGGGAGAGAAAAAAAAAAAGAGCGTTCCCGTTCCGTAATCACGTCGAAACGGAGAGACGATTCGGTTCCGTTTCGCCTCCTTTTGCAGCCGATACTTCCGCGGTCCTCGTTATCCGAGTCGAGATACTTAATCATGAGTCCCTGGACGCGGCGTGTTTAAATATGCAAAGAGCAGGGGCGCACGATGCCTGGGAATAATTGATAACATCCAACGGCGGACCAATGCGACCCGAGCAGAGAGATTTCAAAAACCTAAACTGCATCGGCTCTGAACCCACGGAAATTCCATCTGTCGTTACGGATTCAATGGTCTCGTTTTCAAGGAGAATTCATTTGCAGGGTGGTTTTTCAATCACTGGATTTCCCGTGTACTTTAAATCTCTTTTGCAAAGGGACCTATATTCGTTAACTTTTTTATTCTACGGAATGTTTTCCCTCTTGTCAACGGGAATATCGCAAATAGAATTATGCTTTCGCATCGGTTCGTACCGTAAACGCAAAAGTACGTGGTACACGTGGAATTTACGCTGTCGTAATTTGTTCAGAAATGTGTTGAACATTTGTAAACGATACACAATAAATTAATACTAGATATTTAATCAATGAATGATTTCTTAAATGCAAGGACACGCAACATGACGGCCATCGAACACAGCAAAGTTATCGGAAGAATAGCTCTCTTCGGTGTCGCAATCAGCTTTAAAAGCCGTACACTGGCGGTGGCTTTTAGCGTGACACGGTTGTTGAAAAGTAGGTGCCAGCCCCACAAGTACGTTTTAATGCACGAAGCAAAATGGACGGATTCGCGGGGACGAATATTCCCATGGATAACGTAATTGTGCAAGATCAGGACCAGATCCTTGCACTCCGCGTTCCATAAAAATTTGATTTATCGATGTGGACATTTTTTGGTACGGAGAACATTTTTCCCCCTTAAAAGTGGATTATTAAAAAAAACTGTGGAAACATATAAGCAATATGAAATTCATTAATTACACCGTTCTTTAATTTCTTCTCCTATATTGGAAACCGAATATTGCGCGATTAATTCAAATGAATTGTATATTAAGCAAACAGTTGAAATCCAATATTTGAAATAAACCAACGAATTTAATACAGACGAAGTATATATGTATAGCCTCAATATCGCGCAATATCGACACGTCAAATATTTTAGAATATGAAACAATCATTGCCCTACAGCTTATAATTGCCCAATTAATTCATTTTTAAGAACCTCCTATGTACATTCACCGAATGAATAATGATGAAAAATATAGCTATTGGTATTAATCCTCATATACCTAAGATTAGCTTGGGAGGAGGTGGCATTACTCGTGGAACGATCTGATAAGAAAGAGGCCAACTAAAACACGGTTCCGTTGTCTGACGATCTTCAGGGATTAAAGCAAATCATTAAATTCTAGTACCGTATTACGTTTAATCACCTAAATCCGCGTAACTCCCGCGTTGGATTTGGTGTTACGCGAACGAGATCTCGTTTCGGTTACGTTTTATTGTCTACGTGTCCCAATATACATAACGCGGCAATGCAACTGTCTACGGGTTACGCTGCAATAACGATATAAAGGGAAATAATGCTTCTGTATTATTGCCGCGAGATATCCATTGAACGAATCGATATCGAGCGTAATAACGTTTGCTTGCTTCGAATTCTTCCGACGTCCCTTAATGCCAGTCCATTTTCCCCCCCTGTTCCCTTCGAATCCGCTGAAAGCACCAAGACACTTCCCTCCACTTTGATCAAAAACTAGTTACGTCGTTGTAGCATAAATACGCTATTTATCTAAATTTACTATCCGGATCCTCGCGAACGACAGCGCGCAGCGGAGCGTCGTAAATTAGAATTTCAGCTCCCTCGGCTTTCCAGGGAACGATGAAAAAGCAAAGTTTAACTTAATAACGTATAAAATAGAGCCGAGTGTTCGTAACACGGTGGATGAAAAAGACGTCACAAAGATCCGGTCGAGGAGCTCGTCCTCCGTCGACCGTGAAGAACGTAATCCAGATTTCGACCGATGTAATTATCCACGATAGCCTCGATCCAAATTTCGGGATCGTCTATCCCGGTGAGCTTCTGTTCCAATGAGTACCCGTGTTCCAGTGTGTCGCCGACGAGATCCCCCAAGAGTCGAATACCCGAGGGAATATTTCCCTGGGAAGGATTAAGTTTAATCGCGACATCCCTCTCGCGTGGGACGGGGGGACTCCCACTACACGCTCACGAAAAACCACTATATTACATTATCCGGATACCCTTAACTCTCGTACGCTAAAACTTCGGCCCGCGCGGCGCAGATTCCAAGCCGGGCGAATTTCAACGGCATTTTCGGGATTTCAACGATACTCGCCGGAGAATCCTATCTCTCTCGCTCTTTTTCGCGGTTATCCCGCTTCCTGACTTTGGCCGCATATTAGTAACGGATTACACGAGTTCGTCGGTTAGCTCACTTTTGATCTCCGATCTCTCTGACGGGGCTTAAATAACTTCAACTATCGCCGCCGGTGTAATAGTTTCGATATCAACTATGCGATGTCCTGGAACCCTTAATTATAATTTGCTAGTTCCCCGACTATGCCCCTAAACTCAATTTGTTGACGCACGATGTTTAGAGTAATCGCGATATTGCTACATATTTTAAGATATCCGATGCGTTAAAACACACACAAAAGAAAAATCGCAGACACTAGCACCGACCAAAGATCTAGAAATACGGTCTGGGAACGCAGCGACGAAGAATTTAATAAAATCCCTGATACCCAGCGTCGCGGGAGACAACGCCGAGCAGAATTAAACGATTCCTCCCGAGCGTATTCTCGCGAACGCGTCTTTCAATATCTGCATTTCTCGCGTGTCGTATATCATCAACGTTTTACGCGTTTCTGTTTCAGGCCGAAATATGGAGCGTCTTTATCGCTATTTTAAGGAAAAGCGTGAGGAATTTGCAAGCATGTACAGACGTAAGCCTCATAGAACACGTGTTGCATCGGTTGTCTCGCGCGGAAACTGTTGTCGCAGGTAAATCCTTATCACGTAGATCTAATCCCTGTTCGATGCATGCAGTTAACGCGAAAGTAATTTCCCTGTTCCGACAGACTTGCTGATCGACATGCTCGGAGTGTTAGCCAGCTACAGCATAACGGTGAAGGAATTAAAACTTTTATTCGGCGCTATGAAAGCAGTAAAAGGAAAATGGGTAAGAAAAGGAAACTTTCCGTTTCGACAAAGTTTCCGACCGGCCAGGCTGAAAAGGAAACTTCTAATATGGTTGTAAACTTTCCTTCCATGCCCGCCGCTTTTTCTGCTCCTACGTATGTTCTGTACGATCTTATTCTTTTTGTTTCGCGCCGCAGCCACGGCATTCGGCAAAGCTGTTAAATGTTCTCCGTCAAATGCCGCAACGAAACGGACCTGACGTGTTTTTCAGTTTTCCCGGTAGGAAAGGATCGGTAAGTCAATTCCACCTTACGCTATCCACCTTTTTGCCGAACTAACAAGTCTCTCTTACGACCCATGCTCGATTTTAAACTCCTTCAAACTTCTGATAATTGCTTCGTGAAACTTAAACTCTAAATTTGTATAAACGCTTGTGATTGATCGAAATTAAACATACTGTTGATCGAAGGTCCATTATATTATCACGAAGTTCACTATTTCGGAGACTTATACAGAAAAAATTTTAATGAGAGATTCTAGAGGCCAAAATAAGACGAAAATCAAGAATACCAATTTGTTGATCTAGAATCTCCTATTAAAATTTTTCCCAGGGGTAACCGACCACCCTGTATGCGTAAGAAAATTAGTTTTGTGTTTGACTGTTCTTACCTTAACGTCTTCAGGCAATCGTCCTGCCTCCACTTGCGAGGTGGCCGCACGAGAATGGGTTCACGTTCACCACGTGGTTTCGTTTGGACCCCATCAACTCCGTTAATATCGAACGAGAAAAGCCGTACCTCTACTGGTAAGTGCTCTTTGCATCAAGCACCCTTCCGCGAACACTCGCTCGAGTCCAAGTAGTTACCTGAAAGAATCGTTTATGTTACTGACCTTCGGCAAAAAAAAGAAAAACACGTTCCACCGAATCCATTCAATCGACAGAGTCGAATTTGATTAAACGTAGCTTCGTTCGCATTCACGCGAAAAAGCCTCCTATTGGAGCAGTCGCATCCTACACCAATTTAATCACATCCTTTCACGCGGAAACAATTCGATTCCCATATAGTTGACAACCGTTGTTTCCCCCTACAGAATTCGCTAGCATTTGATCGATAAAAATGAAAAAAAAAAAATAGGTAAAATCCAGATCTTATTACCGTTCGTTTCAACTAATACGTTCCATTTAGGTCTTCTACGCCCAAAAGGGTACCGCTATCGTTCGTTAAAAATATATTAAATTGTTCTTCTTTCCTCTATTTCTAGTTTTAAAACTAGTAAGGGAGTAGGATACTCTGCGCATTTCGTAGGGAACTGCTTGGTCCTCACCTCTATGAAAGTAAAGGGCAAGGGCTTCCAGCATTGTGTCAAATATGAATTTCAACCACGAAAGGTGCGTACTGGTACGCGTTAGTAGAAGAGACACTTGAAAACAATTCGAAAAATACTAGGCTCAACGAACCCAGTCAGCGAGGAAAAACATGTATGGCTGCGGTCATTAGCTGCCAAAGGATACTTACGAGTCACATTCAGGGACACTTGTATACATTTGCTGACTCGTCTCATTGATCTCAGTATAGATCCTTCTATCTCTGAACCTTCAATTTCACTCGGGAATTGTTTTCAAGTGTACACGGAGAATTTGTTCGAAGCGATTTTGCCAAACCCAATAACGTTTATTTTCGCAGTGGTATATGATCGCCGTAGTGTACATATATAATAGGTGGACGAAGAGCGAAATTAAATGTTTGGTCAACGGTCAATTGGCATCGAGCACAGAAATGGCGTGGTTCGTTTCGACAAACGATGTAAGTTAATTTACGTATCCTCTGTGTCGGTTATTAATTTGCGTATTTGTTGTACGATATTAAAATCATCGAGTCCGCGAAACGGATGTACGAATTTGTGCGTTAAAAATGTTCGCCTAAGGAAAGTACACGTTCGAAATTTCTTGCAGCCCTTTGACAAATGTTACATCGGAGCTACTCCGGAACTGGACGAAGAGCGTGTATTTTGCGGACAAATGAGTGCAATATATCTGTTCAGCGAAGCTCTGACAACGCATCAAATATGCGCTATGCATAGACTGGGGCCTGGATATAAGGTACGTAGGAAAACAGATCCTTGCTGTACATAATATCGAAATTTCCCATGAATAACAGAATTTATTCCGAATTTAACGAACCAGATATTGGAAAAATTTCGATATTAAATATCGTGTTCCCTTTGGTTCGTTCGCAGAGTCAGTTTCGTTTTGACAACGAGTGTTACCTGAATCTGCCTGACAATCACAAAAGGGTGAGTGATGAGCCGGAGCTCACGAGCATGGTGGACCAAAGTATGCAAACTGTAAGCATTTTTATTTTCTTTTTCCCGTTCACATTTGATTTGCACATTGTTAATCACTCTGTTACTGCGTTCGAGTTCGTCAGAGGTAATTACCTGATTATCGACCATCACTACGAATATCTTTTCCCAGAACAATGAATTTCTTTGGACGTTGACTGCGACACATAAGTTTGTATCTATCGATTGCGTGACTGCTTGTTGTGAATTTTTGTTTTCTAAACACTCGTACGACGTTCCTTCCAACCACGAATTAAGTTTTATCCGCTTGATATAGTAGTATCTGAATTCCTTTGCTGCCTGCATTCAGTACCTAGTCTTTTTTTTTTTAATTGTAATACGTAGTCACGGTTCTTTTATTAATACGATGATCCCTCGTTAATCTGGATGTCCGATAAATACGGTACAGTTCGTCTTTCTATTCCAGATTGACGAAGTTTCACTTTGTTTCATACTCAGCTAGCATAAGTATTTATTGTGGCTATTAATTTAAAGAGCATTGATATTGATAGCAATGGACACTATGACTAATGGGTAAACTGAGTTTGGAGGAAACCTTTCTAAGCGTGAATGTCTCCTCGAAGATTCACCAGAGACTATATTGACTAAAATCACATTAAACTTCTTTATGATGTGTGGCACGTTTGTTTAACCGTGTAGTAATGAATTTGACTAGTTATGAATAAACTTCGAAAGTTTGCACTGTCGTGTAATTCCTTGAAGGAAGCTGCGAAAATAAAATTGTATGCAATTGTTTCGAGTGAACTTTCAAAGATTAATCACCACTTGCGATTGTAGAAAGTTCGACGAGCGTATAAGAAGAACGATGTTAACAATTTCATTTTATAGGTGCTTTACGATGGTAAGCTGTCGAATGCAATCGTGTTCATGTACAACCCGGTTGCAACGGATTCTCAACTTTGCCTGCAAAGTGCACCGAAAGGCAACGTCTCCTATTTTGTACATACACCACACGCCCTTATGCTACAGGTACGATTTCGAACGCACTCACACACACAACAGGTTATGGAACAGACAGTTCAAAAACCGCTGATCGAATCTTCTATTGCCTATTTACAGGATGTAAAAGCTGTCATCACGCATTCCATTCATAGTACGTTGAATTCGATCGGTGGCATTCAAGTATTGTTCCCTTTGTTCTCGCAACTAGATATGCCTTACGATTGCATAGCACCTAACGATGTTAAACGAGATCCCACGTTATGGTAAGCGCCTTATCGAATTCCTAATTTTATATTACGATGATTCGAATGAAATCAACATTTTCTTGATTTTGTATTTCAGTTCGAAACTGTTGGGGTTTATTTGCGACTTGGTGGAAAGTTCGCAAACCGTGCAGCAACATATGGTACAAAACAGAGGATTTTTGGTAATTAGCTACATGCTGCAGAGAGCAAGCAGAGACCATCTCACCACAGAGGTCCTTGCATCCTTCTTGGAGCTCACGAAGCACTTGGTGACCTGCCTCAGCGCAAACAGCGATTTATTATTAAAACAGGTATCGATGAGTCATTAGTTCGTTTTTAATACGGATTAGAGTTAAGCCTATTAGTATCAACGGAATTACTGAAACAAAAGGCAGAATGTCCTCGGAAGTAGAAAAGAATTTAGACTTGAAGTTCAATTGTATTCGAAGTAGATTCTAAGATATTAGTCGAATCGAAGAACATAGCTTGCACGAGAGTAGAAAATGATCATTAATTGTGAACAGAAATTGTTCACGTGTAATATTGTGTATTTTAAAGAGTATTTTGATATCTGGTTTTGAGAAGTTTTGATAGCGCTTTAGATGAACACTCTTTGAACTATGCAGTATTCTTTAGATCTAATTTATGTTGAAATTAATACTTACAGAGTTATCAACATAGATAAATGTCTCATCCTGTATCTAAGTTATCAAACAAGTTAAGATAATTACATCATTTTAATGTTGAAATCATATGCCAATTTTTGCCAAGTAAATCAAAGACTAAAAGAAAATTTCACATTATCTGACGAATTATCTTAACTGATCTGACCCAAACATACAAACTAGATTTAAATTTGATTCAAGTACATAACTATAACAATTACCTGAACCAGAAACAGTGAGTCATCGTATAACTAGAAAATCATATTAGGTCATTAGGATTTGAACCTCTAACGAGTAGTTCACGTTCAGATTTCCCAGCAAGATCTTAACTGAAATTTTTTAGCAGAGTCCCTGTACAAACCGATACCCTCGTATGTCATGATACATTGATGGTGTGCAACCCTCATTTCCATTTTCCTTTTTTCGTTTCACCTACAATCATGTATAGTAGCATGAGCGAAAGATCTGTCATAGTTTCCTCTGTAGCTATTCTATACAATACTCGTTGTCATAGCTTGCGCAACGAACTGCTCGTAGATGCTCGGAATGTTATATATGCTATTTACAATGTATGTATGTGTATTTTTGTTTATACCGTTTAATACGTTAAGCATGATTATACTTTCTCATGAACGACATTAATTATGTTCATCGAATCTTTGGATCGCATGCAATCTACCGACTTTTAGGCTTCCTGATTTCATAATATGGCTACGCAAAATATTTTTTTTGTTGATACTACGTTGCTTCCACATGAAAACTTCCGACTATTATTTTGCAATGCTGACGAATACTATCTTTGCTGTGATAAAATCTTTCTAAGTTCTCTACTTAAGAAATTGCTGCAGACATGTACCATGAGAATACTATCTTTTATTTTTAACTTTGAAATTTCTAATATCTCGCTTCTTGTTCTACCAAGGATGCCTTTTGCCTTCGAGGAAGCTATTTATAATTATTTTTTTTCTATTCGCACTATAAAAAATATTGGGACATCCTTAACCCGCGAGCAGCAGCTAAATCATGAAAGAAAGGAAGATCGTCGTTTCAGTGTTTGTGTCGAAAGATATCGGTAAATAATATCAACAAAATCTTTGACGATGTCTATACTAATATTGGTTCTACAATCCCTGTGCATACAATTCAATATTTGTCTCAATATTACCTTAAAAGTTACCAGATTCTCAGTATTAATTTCGGTGCATGAAGTGTCACTCTATTGTCCTTTATACTTATCCTTGTTATACAAATTGTTACAATGAATTTATTGGCACATTCGATTCTTTGGTTCTTCCCCGTGTGTTTTCTATACCGGTACCCTTGCACAACTGTAAATGTTCAACTCCTACGTAAAATTTCCTAACAAGATTTCAATTTATATACGACCACGAAATTGCAACTGGTAAGATTTGTTTGGAGTCAAGAATTTTTGTTGAACGTTCTCCAAAGACTACGAAAATACCCGAGCTAAGCAGGCGTACAGTAAGGAGGCATATGAACTCATAAAAGTCGGCTAGATTGGTGTGTCCGAAGAACAGGCAGATCTATGGTGATGTAGTTGTTTTACTTTTCATTCCTAACATGGCAGCTATTGGATCACGTCCTTTTTAATCCCGCTCTATGGATATATACGCCGGCGCCAGTACAGACCCGGCTTTATTCGTACTTGGCCACAGAATTTCTCAGTGACACGCAAATATATTCTAATGTAAGAAGAGTCTCCACAGTATTACAAACAGTGCACACGCTTAAATATTATTATTGGGTCGCCAATCCACGAGCCAAGAGTGGCATAACTCCGAAAGGACTTGGTGAGCTATTTCTCATCCTCAAATGAACACATACTTCCATACTTGTCTTTCTGCTAGTTATTCTATCGTACGTTTCTTTAATTCCAGATGGACCGCGACCTCAACAGAAGGATATTTTGACAATACGCTCTTATATTTTGTTATTTCTAAAACAACTGATAATGATCGGGAACGGAGTGAAGGATGACGAGTTGCAGAGCATTTTGAACTACCTAACGACAATACACGAGGTGAGGATTTTTCTACGAATACTTGAGAAAAATCTGTAAACCTTTTTCCCACTACATCCACGCGTTTGTATATTTCGCCTCTGTTTGCAGGACGATAACCTACACGACGTTTTGCAAATGCTTATATCGTTAATGTCCGAACACCCATCGTCCATGGTGCCTGCCTTTGACGCGAAGCAGGGCGTTAGGACGATCTTCAAACTGTTAGCCGCTGAGAGCCAGCTGATACGTCTGCAGGCCCTGAAGCTATTGGGATTCTTCCTCAGCCGCAGTACACATAAGTATGTCGAGACAAAGAGAAACTATTAGTCAATCTTAAAAATTTCTTATCGATCTGAAACGTGAGACAGTTTAAATTACAGACGAAAATACGACGTTATGAGTCCCCATAATCTGTACACGCTGCTGGCCGAAAGATTACTGCTGAACGAGGAGACGCTGTCGCTGCCGACGTACAACGTTTTATACGAGGTATCCTTCTCACTTCATTGAAACATTGAATGCTCCCTCGTTAGATCTCCTCTTCTAATACTATTCTTAAATATGTTTTCAGATTATGACGGAACAAATTAGTCAGCAGATCCTTTACGCCAGACACCCAGAACCAGAGTCCCATTGTCGTCTAGAAAATCCAAGTAAGCCAACGAATCGACGAATCATCTTTTAACGCAGACTACTTATCCAGCGTGTTGTTTCAGTGATTCTGAAAGTGGTAGCGACGCTAATTCGACAATCAAAGCAGACGGAACAGCTGTTGGAAGTGAAGAAGCTATTCCTCTCCGACATGACGTTACTTTGCAACAACAATCGAGAAAATCGACGAACGGTTCTACAGATGTCCGTGTGGCAGGAATGGCTGATAGCCATGGCTTACATTCATCCGAAGAACACGGAGGAGCAAAAGATCTCGGACATGGTGTACTCGTTGTTTCGTATGCTTCTGCATCATGCCATTAAACACGAGTACGGCGGATGGCGCGTGTGGGTGGACACTCTGGCCATCGTCCATTCCAAGGTGAGTCTCTCGAAGTCGCGTCGTAAATGCTATTTATTTACGCGAGCCCCGGTCATTCAGGTATCCTACGAGGAATTCAAACTGCAGTTCGCTCAGATGTACGAGCATTACGAAAGGCAGAGATCAGATAACATTACGGATCCCGAGTTGAGACAGCAGAGGCCAATCAGCACTATCTCGGGTTGGGATCAGCAACATTCAGGGAATAATGGATACACCAAACCGACCCCCTGGGGCAATCAACAAAATCACGACGCACAACACATTGAGAGGAACTACAAGGTTCGATTCGATTTTTTTTTTAAATGTATCTTATCGTTTCGGGAATTTTTTAGACCAACTTTCCATTTTCAGGAGTTCGACGCATCCGAGGGAAACGACCGACTGGAGGAGTCCTGCAGCTGCGACTTGAACTCGATAGACAACACCGAAAGCGACGGTAGCCCGGCGATCGTCAAGTCGCACAGCGAAACGATGGACACTCCCCAGTCGAGCGAGGTGATATCCCTGGATTCCAGATTGAGCGACAAACCCGAAACACCGACGACGGCGCGAGAGATTCACACGGACACACCTACGATCCTCGAGGAAGCTAACAGCGAAGCAGTATCCATACCAACGACACAGGAGACCAGCGAGGTGATATCGCTCGAGAGCTCGAGCGACTTGTACAGCGAGGTGCACAAGATCGAGAGTTCCAGTCCTGACTCGATGGTGGTGCAAGAGGTTCTGAAGAAAGAGGAGGAGTCGTTGGACCAGAAATCGCAGGACCCCGTTCCCGAATCCTCTCCCGCCAAACAAACGGAGAAAAGTACGCAAGCAGAAGACGTTGAACAGGAAGAGGATACAGTACCCAAAGACGACACGAATGTATCAGACGCAGCTACTACGATCGCTGAAGAACCGCAAGAAGATACCGAGGCACCTTCCGCGGAAAGTGAGGAGACGAGCAAAGAGACATCCGACGTGGCGGATAACGTTGCTGCCGATGACGATGTTGCTTCTACCGCGGAGGAACCTTCCGAGAAAACAGAGATATCGGAGGAAACCCCAACGGAGATCGTCGCCTCGATAGAGCAAGTTGTTTCGGAGAACGTCACTTCCTCTAGCGAAACACCGGAGCCACCGAATATCAAAGACATGGAGAAGCTACAATTGGAGAACGACCGAGAGATAAACGACAGCGACACCTCAGAAGCGTACTTAACACCTACGGAAAACCAAGAGAACCTGGGGGATGCGAAGGACAAGATTTTGGACGCGGAGAAAACAGAGGACAGTGTCGCGGAGGACATTGTCGAGAGTACGGAGGATGCGACTGCGAACGTTAAGACCAGCGAGAACGATACCGAGGAAAACTTGAAGAATCCCAATTGCTCAACTAGCGTAATAGAAAGTACCGAAGTCTGCGAGGAAAAGGTAGACGTAGAAGAGGAGAAATCAGTAGTGACTAGTGAGTTAAGTAGTGACAAATGCGCCGCGGACTCTGTAACGGAGGGCAAAAGTGCTGTTATTAATGATAACGACGAGAAGGTAACTGAAAAACATTCAAGGGAGCCGTCCACTATTTCTACTAACGTAAGTGATAATACGTCAGACAACCCGGTGAGAACTGACGAGGTAGAAGTAACAGATAGTGTTTGTAGTAATAGCGATATACAAAGTTCTGTAGATAATGTGACGCAAGTGCCAAATCCTAAGCAGCAAATTCCAACAATATCTACGGTCTGTGATGCAAATAAAAATATGCCCGACGGTGTGCCTGAAATCGTTAGTCCTACCGTGGTTGCGAGAGACAATTCGTTATTGAATGACTTAACTCCAGATCACGTAGATACTCATCGCAGATCCAGCTTACCGGCTGTACCCTCCGAAGCGGCCACCGATGATAATCTAAACAGTAACGAATCTCCTTCTTTACCTGTACCCTTACGAAAAACATCGTCACCCCAGAAACGACCAAGGAGTGCCTCAACATCCACGCAAGTGGATCCTAATCATTTCGGTAAAAAAACTTTTCGTTTCGTCTATTAGCAAGGCGAGATTGTCCCTTGAGTCCCTTAGTTTTACGAATACCTACAACTATTTTTCTTATTTTAGAATCAAAAAGATCAAAGCAAGGTAATCCTTCCACGAGACCAATGTTTAGTCCGGGACCGACACGACCTCCTTTCAGAATACCAGAGTTCAAGTGGTCCTACATACATCAGAGGTTACTCTCGGATGTCCTCTTCTCGTTAGAGACTGACATTCAAGTCTGGAGGAGGTACGTACATTCCACAAATTGTAAAATAAGATAACACGGTTAGTTAATTGGAATTTTTAACGCTCTCATTCCAGCCATTCAACGAAGTCGGTGTTGGATTTTGTAAACAGCAGCGAAAACGCAATTTTTGTTGTTAATACCGTTCATCTGATTTCGCAACTGGCCGACAATCTTATAATTGCCTGCGGAGGATTGCTACCGCTTCTAGCATCGGCAACCTCGCCAAATGTAAATATAAATGTTTCAACGAGACCGTTCGTACACATAGAATAGCATAACCGGGCGAAAGTTCTTTTCGACGGATTATTTTTTTAATTGGTGCTTGGATATTCATAGAGCGAATTGGATGTAATTGAACCGACTCAGGGGATGCCAATTGAGGTAGCGGTTTCTTTTCTGCAAAGACTAGTCAACATGGCTGATGTACTTATCTTCGCCAGCTCATTAAATTTTGGCGAACTGGAGGCCGAGAAGAATATGTCTAGTGGCGGTATTCTAAGGCAGTGTTTACGACTGGTTTGTATTATCATCCACGTAGTATTTTAATTTTCGAGACAGACATCGTTACTATTGCCACACTATGCAATTTTAAACTCCATGAAACTCTACCCTCTGATTTCACGCGAAATAGTTTACGTGATCGATATTCCATGGAAAAGTATAGACCTACCATTGAGTATAAGATGGACAGAACTACATTAAATGTTTGTGATGCACATTAAGTAGATTCACCATATCTATGCACACTACACAAATTAAATCTGTTACAGATGACACGAACACCAATTCAGGTTAATCCCGTTATTAATTATACTGATTTTTTTTTCTACTGTACAACTTAATTTTTAAATATGTTCTAATAAGAAATATCATATTCCACTTTTATTCTTCTCTTTCTTGCTTTCCATGTGCGAAAGATACCTCTAGACTAGGAATGTAATAGACAGAACATATAGTATGCTTCGTGTTAATTTCTCATACGTGTATGTACGTATTTATGTGTTTTCTAGAACATTAGCACATAAAATTAACTACACGAAACATTACATACAACGAAAAATCAGCAGCTACCATAAAAATAAAATCAAAGTATCGCGAAATTGGATCCAAGTGGAATAAGAAATCTCTCGAGTTCAACAAATTCATGGAAAGCATTTAAAGAAATATAACAATTTTCCCAAATACCCCAACACTCTTGTAGTCTACAACCAGACTCTTGTTAATAGAAATAGTTCTTAAATCAGCAGTGTGTTGAATAGTTGTAATATTTTCAGCTTCTGTATATGTGTGATATAGAAATTCAACATGTACGTTTTCACTATACTTTTTGTTATATTCATCTGATGAAATGCTTCTATAGGTCTGTACATGTGCTGTTAGAAACTGCTTAGAGTGTAAAGAACGTGGCAGATCGTACAGCATGTTAGGTCGGCCGATTGGTTCTAGTAATAAATCACAGCACATACAGTCTCTCATACGTGGAGCTCAAACATCACCTAAGGTATGTTTTATCCGATCGAACTTAATTTACATAGACAAATCTATTATCGTCATCGATATCGACACAATGTATTCGTGCCCAATGCCATACTGCATAGAAAATAGCATTCTCAATAGCCATTAATGTTAACCATTTGAACGCTAGAATAAAATGTAATCTCTATTTTTGTAGAACATAGTGGACAATCTGGCACATCAATTAAGTCCTGTAAAGGATCCTGAGAAATTATTGCAAGACATGGATGTGAATCGTTTAAGAGCTGTGATATACAGAGATGTTGTAAGTAAATCGATATACTCAAACTAAAATGTAATAAATAAAAGTGAAGGAGTAATAAGGGGTATACAATTTTTTCATTTTAGGAAGAAACCAAGCAGGCCCAGTTTCTGTCCCTGGCTATAGTTTACTTCATCTCTGTACTAATGGTATCGAAATATCGTGATATATTGGAACCACCAATATCTCAACGTCCTCCAAGTCCAGTTCAAACAATTCAAACTAATGGTGCTGGTCTCAGACCAGGCAGCCCTTCAGGTAGGATATACACCATTATTATATAAAACACCTTGTTGCGGCAACAAAATATGTTAACAAAATTTGATCAAATTTGTTATTAACACAAGTAATTAAACATTTCATCTTTAGAAATGATGCAAAAGAAACAATTCTTTGACATTAATATTATGTAACTAGTAATTTTAGGTAAATAATCCAGGAGCATTTTATATAATAACTTATATAGCCTGTTTAATTAATATCTTTACTATGATACACCCAATGCAAAGAGTCAATACAAATAGTAATACTTAAAAATTATAGGGGGTAAACAGCTGGAGTTATCATTTGCAGGTGCTTTTGAAAAAAGTTAATGAAACATACAGGGTTTATTTAAATTGATGTTGATACTAAAACATGCATGTTGAATTTCAAACATATATATGTGTTAACCCTCTAACAAACTTTACACAAAAATCTGTTATAGTATAATGAAGAGTGATTAAAGTCAATAGTATCCAATTACTACTTCAAAACTCTTACATGTCAGATATGTGTTGTTGTACTTACTAATTGTTCTGTCTAAAACATATTAAATGAGAAAGTTTACTTCTTCCTACACTTTAAATGTGATGCAATACTGTAGCATGACTGCAGCTATATGAGCATGTTTCTCATGATATTTGGACGTGTAAAAAATCATAAGAAATTAGAGTTTCCTAGTCAAACAAATAGCTTTTTTCAAACTCTAACATAGCTTAAGTTTCCAACTACAATATTAATTCGATTAATTAAATGAAATAAGATATTTAACCATTGAATTAAATGAAATAAGACTATAATACATAACACAAATGTATGTGCAAATATGTAGATAATGTGGAACACTGTGCACTTTAATTGTGTAGCTGCAAAAACAACAGCACATTACACTGAATAGAGAGCATGTCCAATTGCACTGTATGAACTATTTTATATGTATCTGACAGTGAGAGTTTTGATGTCTGTCGAATGCATTAGCACTTTCTTTTGCATTTAGATACATTTTTATTATGTCACAGTTATTTTACATTGCGAAAATATAAAATTTTTTCACGCAAAAAATGTTTAAGACAAGATAGAAGCTGCAGAGGATTATAACATAATATAATTTACATCGATTACATTAAATGTTGTTTCAAGAACAATTGAATGTTCAATGACACGTATCACTTGAATGTTGTATTTTAATAATGTGTCTTATCTTTAAACTGTGCGATGCTCCTAATTCAGTACTCTATGTTTCTTTCTAATAATAGAATAACTTAGTTGTTTCGTGTGAAAGTGTAAAATGCATTGTCTTTACTTCACTGAGTTTCACTCTACTAACCATTTCATAACTTTACAATTGAAAATATGTAGTTTCAGCTTTGAAGTTATACGTACTAATTGTTGTACTACATAATATAAAATCTCTCTTGTACTAACAGCTTTTAACTTTGGGAGAAAAATTGAAATTCCTTGAAGCATGGCAACAATTTTCTTGTATGTATATGAATTGTTCTTACCTTCAAAAAAGACGTAACCAGCTAAGCAAATCAAGATGATGATCATCTGCAGCGTAAATACAGTTCTTGTTTCACAATTTCACTGATAATTTCACAGTTATTGAAACAAAATAGAGCACACTTTTGTAAAGAATACGCAGTTGTTCTTCGTACGTGCAACAATGTGTATGCGTTCCAAATGGCGCGCAACCGATGCATTTGCAACATATTTGAAAGTAAAAAAGAAACTTTTTAAATAGTTTGAATGTATTACAGAAAAGGCTAAAAACAAGTAATATAAATAAATAGAACGTAATATTAATCAATGGCAAAACAAAATTTATTAGAATTGAAGAGTATTCAATTATTATAATCGTCGTATGTTGTGCGCGCGAAACTATGTAGTGGCAGCACTGGCAACACCTCTACAATTCGAGTACTATCTACGCGTGTGAATATCATTCTTGTTATCGCTGTGCTTTTTTACATAATAATGTTAATTTACTGTGGAAAAGTAACTTATACAGTGTTATTCTCGTTTCGATACACAGTTGTAATTTGTTACAAGCAGAGAAATCTTTCGAAGGAAGAAGAATTTTCATGGGAAATGCATTACTACATACTTCTATTTTACTTCGATAAAACTTGATTTCCAGAAAAGTAGGTACATTTGCATGTATAATATTTCCAAGATTAACAAACTTAAAAATAGTAAAGCATATTGATAGGGTACAAATATTGGTAGTTCAAACGAAATATTATGGTAATTATGGGTGATATAATTGTCCACTCTAACGAGTTGAGTAATAGTTTGGTGACAGATAGAGTGAAACCCAGTAGAGAATAGTGAAACAACGCACACGAGACAAAAGGAAATGCACGCCATAAACGAGGGCAGACGATCGAGAATCGTGGTAACGTGGTAAATGTGGTTCCTCAGCAGATGGGAATGGTGGTGGAGGAGGGCGGCCCCTGTTTCCACAGTGGTCTCACCACGTGTACCCACAGTTCCTCCCGGGATCTCACCCTAACGCCAATGCGAATGCCAATGTCAATGCCAACCACCACATCAACCAGCACCACCACCAGCACCCGCTACCGGCTGCCAGGCACTCTAATCGCCAGCCCCCCTCCAACTATTATCTCCCGAATCACCACAGTAATCATTACAACCATCATCCAAATAACCATAACTATCATCGTCATCATCATTACCATCATCACAATAACAACAATCACCATCATACGCTTCAAAAGCATATCGATCAGCCCCGAAATCTCTGTCATAGAAACTCCGGTGTCGGTCTGCAAGGTAAACTCGATTGCCCGAACGTTGTTCCACGGAATGCTCGAGTTCTTTCTTTGGCCTGCTCGATTATTTACTTGCCGTCTATCTGCCAACGAACAAAACTATCGATACTACTATGTTTCGTTATTTCTTTCCACGTTTTCGTTTACGTTTTCCGTATTGATATGCCGATGTTCCGCACGTCGCTGCTCGCTGATGAATTTGAGCTCGATTGGGGCTTTTTCGGACGAGACACTCGGTGGCCCAGTTATCCAACCGTCTATCGATCCCACTTTCGTCTATTCTTTACGATCAAATATTCTTTTTTCTATGATTTCAATCGGTTCTTATTTCTAGAGGGGTTCAAAATCAATGAGATAGCTAGTTACTTCGAATCCAATACTGTAGTCCTAAGCTAAACAGGCTCCCAAGCGTTTGTTTCTTTAGAGTTTGCATCGAAATCACCTAAGTTTTCCTTTCAATCTTGAGATACGTGTAACTTTATTAGTTAGACAAATATTACTCAATACTCTTACACCTAAAAGGTTCGCCTCTGTGTTGCAATTATTATCAAAAGTAACACATTTTGTTGTGTTATGGTCAAGGCAACCGAGTGTCTCATCAGAAACAGCACTTAAGGTTTGATCTACACTTACACACATGCACGTGCACGCACATAAACACACTCGCATAATTATAATTTTGTCGATCAGCAATTTTTTGTTTCGCAGGAATGGGATTTCTTTGGTTGAGTTTTAATTTCTTCTGAACCTTGATTTATTTTGTTTTTTAACAGATTCTTTGATTCATGTGTTGTAAACACGAACGAATTGATTCCACTTTGCCATTGAAAAATATATAATTCTTTGAATGAAATTTCTTTATTTAAGGATAACAAATGATTCCGAACAGACGTTTCGCTCGTTAAAAGTTCTGTTTACAAAACTTATGCATATGCAATACGCTCGTTAAGGTGTATCAGTCAAATATTATCTCAACGCTTGAGACACATAAACTGTTTGCACATAAACTGTGAATGAAAAATGTGCACTACTTGCATATTATTTGCGAGTGAAACAACGAGTCTGCATGTTCGTTGCAACGTAATTGTACGCAATGACGTTAAATTCTTTTTACACCGATCGCAGGATTGTTCTCCTTACTGCAAAAGGAAACACGTACTCTATAGTTACTTTACTATCTGAAAATTTAAACGACTCGTATTAAAAAAATTCTTCTAACAATTTTATATTCTTACGTAGATAGCAAAATTTGTTTATCGTTCAATTGAATATATCACTACTTGCGAATTTATAATTTTTCCTTATATTTTCTACAGTATTCAAACGTTATTTTATTCTTTTCGATTACTCGAAGTGGAAGGAAACTGTTATTAACAGACATTTTTTATTCGATCGAATGCGACGAAACCATTTCCTCGAACTTCGGATCGCTGAGCAGTTTTGAATGCTTCAATTACGTATCTATTGCGCTTCGTTTTTGTTTCCTTTCCGTTTGAAATTCCTGCACTATTAATTGATCTCGTCTCCCACACGATGCGATCGGCGAAACATCCTCGAACTTACGCTGAAATTATTTCCACGCGAGCGTCGTACCGAATTAGTAAACTGTCCTCGATGAAATTAATATTCAACAGATTCGGAAATTTCTCGCGAGAATCGTCGATCGCGTCAGCGTTCGTGTCATGTGCTTTGCAAGAGATAATTTCCTTGAACTTTTCCTGCATATATTCACGTTGTTGAAATGTGTTCCCAGGAAGCGGAGGTATCATGAGCCAAGCTGGTTCTCAAGACGACGGTGAATACGAGGTTATAATTGTCGATGAAAACAATTCATCGATCCTGGCGGATCACGACGTTTCGTCGTCCGGGCCACCATCGACGAAGGTAAGCGACCAAACAGCGATTCTCGTTTCATTATCTGTTCGATAAGATGCAACTTTTACCGCATACTTCGTTCAAACCGTGCAACAAAATACGATCTGCCAATACGAAAGACACGCAGATCGGGATTTATTGATCCGATATTACTCAGGTAAAAGAAAGCCTTCTGAATCTTTGCTCAATATTGTCCATACGTGAAAGTAACGAGAATACGAGAGTATACTTTACGAATTGTCGTTTACGAGAATATTTGTTTATCGATAACTTTACTTGAGACTGCATGCTTATATGATTCTCCAATAATTTCAGTTCACTTATAAATTATGACCAGAACGAATTTTATTCCGCGTTTTCGATTTATTTTTTTATGTAAGAGTACTTGATTTTCGATCTCATCACTTATCGTGGAACATTTTTGTATATTACGTTGTAAATATTTCATACTTTCCGATGATACTTCAATGGCAATATGACTTTTGCACCTTTCCGTCACGCACGATCTACGATCGTAGTAAAATCGACACTTTCCGCCCACACGATACGCTTTGCATTCGTTAATTGAATTGTCATTTTTCGATACTTCTTCTGTAGAACACTTCAAAACCTAAAATCTACGTACTTTCAATGGAATCCTTGACGTAAAGAACGAACGAACTGCATGCGTCCCGAGTACTAATAACTTAATAGTTGATCCGAGACAAAAAAGACGAAAGAAGGAAAAGAAATGAATTACGTGTTGTTAAATCATTTGACGCTAGTTTCGACTGAGAATTTCTCCTAGAAGTAGTTGATTTTTTTTAGTTTAAACATTAGATCCGACCCTTGAGTAATTTTAGGATCCAAATCTGTAACCGTAAATTACAGTTTCTGCTACATCCAGCATGTAGTGTTTACTTAGCGTTCGATTGCATTTTCGTAGCCCAGAATAAAGATATTATGTAATTCTCTATGTATATTGACAGTTTTATAATCGCACGGTAAAGGTTGGTTCAAAGTTTTACCACGATAAATCCAACATTTTTAAGATACTTTAGGCCCGATCCGATTTTGTTTATATCTTCGTAACTCCCGACAAGAGTACATCTATCTGTAATTTCTGATCTCTAATATTTTCAAGCATGCGACACCTTTATTCTTTGATTTTTTCTCATCGTTAACTTCCTCTGCTTGCATTGCTATGCGTACTAACTACTGGTTCTGAAGGGAGGTCACAGTGGTGTACCTCGGCCACGGACAATTCTCGAGGATTACACCTCGTCAGAACCAACGCTTGGCTCTTCAAGACCCGAACCACTGCCACGAACTATCCAGGTAAAATTTGACTTGAGTACGGACTCGGAAGAATCACCTTAAACGAGAATTTCCTTGTACAAAGAAAACTTTACAACGGCCAAATAAGTTCTCAACGATTTGCAGAAGCTATCGATGGTACAATAAAAATAAATTAAAAATTGTACGCGTGGACGCCAACAGTTTAGATTCAATGTTCCTTCTAGGTCACTCAAGTATAACGATTTCTTCCTCGTAAAAACCATTACCGTACTTTTAGTATGCAAAACCGTATCAAATAACGAACCGTGCAAATGAATACCTGCACGCTTGATTTATTACGATTCCATTGTCGAGAAACCAGTACAAGGGTATTTTTCTAAATGTCGCAGGGCAGGGGCCGAGGATCACTGCAAAGCAACTTTCAGTTATAGCGATTTAATCGTGTTCGTGCCTTTAGTTATCAATTTAAATGTATATATTTGCTTCCAGAGCAACGCAAAGGGAGAAAAAGTAAAAGCAAAAGGGTCGTTGAAAACTTATTTCGCCATCTGATAATGTCTCCACCGATCATCCGTGTTTTTGGAAGCGTTCGATAACCATTTCCGATTATTGTACATCGTCAACAGTTTATTAACCGTTTACAAATTTTCTGTCCGAGAGCAAAGAAGAAACGCAACGACGACGCGTAAGAATGCCCATTCGACGGGTACGCAATAAAGCTAGCGAACAGTATAAATAGAACTGAAAGAATTTGATTCGTATTTCTTCGGTGTTTATCCACGTGATTTTATACGTAGTTATGTTTTTATTACGTGCGGCTGATGGACGTAATCCACGTAGTTATTGCGGTATTACGTTCGCCGGCGGAGCTTGAGAGTCTAGGAAGCTTCTATTCCATGTTTACACGTATTAGGTGATTGCGTATTAGTCGTGTACGATTAATTGCATGACATAAAGTAACGTAAAATGCATAGCACGCGAGAGTTAATTGCAAAGTATACTGGGTGTCCCAGGATTTTTCAGGCAAACTGTACCAGTATGTTTTATGGGTAGAAAGAAGAAATAAATGACATATAAACACAGTCCCGTAAATTAGAGATTTATTATAGAAATATGAAATGGAAAGGGAATGATGGACTCGCTCTTATTACAGAATAAGAATAGCTAAATGATATGTATTTAGTTTGAACTAATTTAAATAATAATTCATCTTTTTGCACCGGAGCTGTCTGCAATATGAAATGAAGTATTGAGTAAAACATAAATAGGGAAGCGAAGATAATTATACATTTACAGTATAATGACGATGCACCTGAGCTAATCTCGACTCTAACAAGAACTTGAATCCTTTTTATATCAGTGGCGTCTAGAATAAGGAACGAAGCATCGAGGACGTGTACAATTTTTATGCCTGTCTTTTGTCTCGTTTCTTCTCATAAAACAAGCTGGCACAATTTGGACAGAAAATTCCAGGGCACCCTGTGTATCGTTTGGTTCCTACAAGTAAACGTTCCTAAAACTGTTATAGATCTTTACGACTAGCGTGTTGAACGAAAGCTAGGCTTTCGTTAGAAGTAATCAGTACCGTAGCAAAGTAGTCGTAGTTTTGTTTCCAATTACCGTAACTTCAAATGATTTTATCAGACACAACTTTCGATATACCTACCTTCACATAAATACTATAAACCGAACTATAAACCTTGATGCTAAAGAAGTGAATAAATACAAAATCGTGACCACCGCTGAAATCATACATCAGTCCACTTTTTCTTAAGGTACAGCGCACAGACGCGTCGAGCCCACACTCGTACCTCGAAAATCCCCTAAGTGTTCGACAGTTCCCTGATTGGTGTCTTTGCGCAATCGTAAAATCGCTCGTCAAAGTACGGTGGCTTTAATCTCGCCCCCTTTATTCAACTTTCTCTCAGAGCAACGATTCCAGCGAGGAAACGGTTCATCGCAGCATCACCGCGGACCCTAGTCCGTCCGATATCACCACCGACAATGAGAACAAGCATAACTCCTCCGAGGAGGCTTGGACCGACGTGAACCTGAACGAGGACGGGGACTCGATCCCAATTACGAATCAAAGAGAAGACCCGCGAAACATTCACAATATGGCCCATACTCGCGGTAAGACTTCGTCTCACTGTTTTTAAAGATCAAGGATTTATCCCCGGAGCGTATCGGTTTCTTCTGCTCTCGTGATCTTCGATTATTTTCGCGCGAGACCGTGTAAATTATCCGTGTTCGCACGCTGCGCAGGTGAAATCCAAGACAGCGAAGGTAACGTTCTGGAGCAAGAGATGCTGGGGAATGCCGAGCGCGGCGAAAAACCGTCGGCGGAGATTTCTGTGGTCCGCGTTCCGGACAGATTGGTGGTGAGTTCCGCGTCCCCGAGGCCCGACGAATTGCCGATCAAAGGGCTCGTCGATCACCTGCCGGTGCCGACGCCCTCGCGCGAGGCGTCCCTCACGCAGAAACTGGAAATGGCGCTCGGCTCCGTTTGCCCGCTTCTGCGCGAGATCATGGTGGATTTCGCCCCGTTCCTCTCGAAAACTCTCGTCGGCTCTCACGGCCAGGAGTTGCTGATGGAAGGAAAAGGTACGACCCGTCGAGGAATTCGCGTCCAAGACAAGGAAACTTGTCAAAATTTCCGACGCTTCTGTAGTCAGTCCCTTTCTTTTTTTTTTTCTTTTCGTGTCCAGCTCGCCGAAGGTATTCAAATTAGTCGGTTTATAGTTTCGCTTAGGAAGATGGAAGACGTATTCCGGATAATCGTTCGGTATTTGTATTCGCGCGGCGCGCGGTCTGCGGCACTTCGCGCGGGAATTTTACATTCGTGGAACGTCGCGAATGACGGTCGTGTCGCGTATCGATGCGCTTTATTTTCAACGACGCTCGATACATTGAGCGTCGTTTATAAATCACTCGACGCCGTCTTCATTTTTTTTTTGGTACTTTTCGAGCCCCATGCGTTTCGTAGGAGGAAATATTTATGAAATCGAGAACAATCTCTTTAACGATTCGTTCGCCTGTCGATCGTTAGGTCTGACCACATTCAAGAACAGCAACTCCGTCGTGGAGTTGGTGATGCTACTTTGTTCCCAAGAATGGCAGAACTCCTTGCAGAAACACGCGGGCCTCGCTTTCATCGAGCTCATTAACGAAGGAAGGTAAGAAGGCTCATTTGATCATCGTTAGAACGACAGAGTTATAGTGGCCGCGGTGTACCGCGGGCGAACGGTCTGCCGGTTCGTATCGTAAAAGTTTACGTTTATGTTATGCAGGTTGCTGTCTCACGCGATGAAGGATCATATAGTCAGAGTCGCCAACGAGGCAGAATTTATATTGAACCGAATGAGAGCGGACGACGTGTTAAAGCACGCCGACTTCGAGGTACCTGTTTTCGCCTCGTGCAATTAATTTTTACGCGTACACATTTTTACGATGTCTATTTCCTACCTGTACCCCGGTAACGAGTCCGGTTCCAAAATTATGGTCGGAATGTTTATCGTAAAAATTTCGTCCCAGTCACAGTGCGCGCAGACGTTGCTCGACCGACGGGAAGAGGAACGAATGTGCGATCATTTGATCACAGCTGCCCGAAGACGAGACAATGTGATTGCCAGCAGATTACTGGAGAAAGTCCGAAACATCCTGTCCAATAAACATGGCGCTTGGGGATACATGGATCCAATGGCTGCAAAGTAAGTACCTCTGCAAGATGGCCGCTATAAAAGTTTATTCGCGGGATCACGTTACTTTTGCAAACCATGAAAACGAAGATATACAGTGTGTCTTCACTCTAGAAGTTATAATTTTTGTCTCGGACGAGACGATGAAATTTTGGAATTTTTAAATCGCAGATTGGCCGAATACTGGAAGCTAGATGCTTGGGAGGATGATGCACGTAGACGTAAGCGTTTCGTGCACAATCCACTAGGCTCGAGCCATCCCGAGGCTACACTGAAGGCGGCTCTCGAGCACGGTGCACCCGAGGATGCGATTCTCCAAGCGCGTGAAGAGTTTCACGCGCATCTCGCAGCCTCGCGTGCACATCAGCAGCAATTGCAGTCGGCGGATCTCATGGACGACAGTGAGCTGTTGTCGGACGACAGGGACCTCGACAACGACCTGACAGGTGAGATCTATCGTTTCGTTTCGTTCGGTTTCGTTGCCTAGCGAAGCGTGACGCTCCGTTTGCATGTCGTTCCGTCCCGACTCTAACATACTTAAGTTGCAACGAGATCGTGTTCCGCCAGGCCCGGTGAACATCAGCACGAAAGGGAAATTGATCGCGCCAGGTATCGTGGCTCCCGGAATTATCTCCGTCACGTCCACGGAACTGTACTTCGAGGTGGACGAGGACGACCCAGAGTTCAAGAAGATCGACACTGAGGTAAGTGAACAATCGTTCGGACTAACATTGTAGCCAGTGGTAATAACGGGGAGCTTAGCGTTCGCGCTCAAGAAATTTGTATCAACAATTATTTCTACATAACTTTGCAATCAACACATATACTGATACCGAGTCCAAAAGAGTTGGACGTATGTATACGTAAGGCTTCTCCGAACTGCGAAAGACAATCCATGGTTCGACTGCCAATTTATTGTATTAAAATTCCCAACTGCATTTCCTTGGTTGCATTTATCATGTGTCATACGCAATCTAAATAATTAATCACTGTGTCAGTCCCAACCGCGTTAAGATACCGTCTATTACATGCATTTGGAGCAACTTGTTGCATTTGCGAAGCTATCTCTTTGAAATATGGTCGCCGGTTGGCTCGCAGATAACGTTACCCCGCATTGAAATCCAGGACCACGCACAAACGCGCTACACCTTCTTGCGAATTCTTTCCGCCAGAAATACTTTTAAACTAGAATGCACCTTGGTACTGATGCAACAACGAAAATATTGAACATTGTCATTAATATTCAAACGTTCTATATGCTTTGGTTATGATTTAAAATGTTTCATAGAAAAATAGTTGAGAAATCTTTACGTAACACAAAGTAGATAAAAAACAGAATCAGTTTAAGTAATTTTCTCGCGTACAAAGAGCCTCGATTCGTTTGATCGACAGGTTATCGCCAAGTATTGCATCAATCATACCCCGCGGCCCGGAATTTGAATAAATGCGAATCATAAATGATGAGACGTGGCGAAAGCTTCCACGATACTGACCCCGCGTTTGGGGCCCGAGTCGGAATTGGTTCGGACGTGTCCTTGTCTATCAGCGTCCATAATGTGGTCACGTTCCGCGAAGGTGGTCATCCCAAGAGAAAAAAGAGAGAGGCAGAGATAAGACCCCGAGAACCGGAGCGAGAAGGCTTGGAAGGACTGGGGGCTCGATTATCATATATCGGTCGTAGATCTCGCGTTTGTATAACTAGGGAATAAAACAAACAGGGAAGGGCCCCATGGGGTCGGCCGATCTTCAGGGTCGGCAATTATGAGCCCCCCGCGGGGCCCGGTATCTGCCTACCCACTCTTCCGTCTCTCTCTCTCCTTGCGTTCCATTGCCTTGGCCACGCACTAGCCATACATCGGTGGCATAGTTGAACAGGCAGCTCCTCAGGAATGCACTCGAACTACCACAGTTTCTCCGTCTATCTAGTAACTATCGCACGTCTAGTACGACATCCTGTTTATGCGATCCTTGACAATCCGATGGGAACAGATGGATCGGGGGAACGTATCGGCGATCGAATTCCCCGTTGCACGTTCGCGAAAGTGTTTACAACGTTTTTTATTTCGTGGATACCGGGGGAATCGGAGAACGAAGTTTCTGTCCTTTCCATTTTGTCTTTCTTTATGTTAATCGGCATCGATTGCTGCGATCGTTTGACGGGGGACGTAACGTCGAGTCTTGGACATTTAGGACCCAAGATAGTAAAATTTTTGTGCGTTCGAGTGGTACTGCTTGTAATCGAATATCCAAGAGAGAACATTCTTAAAAATGCCCCAGGAGGATTGCATAAATGATTGGAGCTTGGATACTGGGGGTGAGTCTCTGTAGTTTTTGGGAAACTATATATTAACAGGGATTTGTAGTATTCTAGATTATTAACAATTTTCACGAATTTTTCGTTAGTGAGCTTACCGAGAGGAATAAAGTTAAAGAGAAGCAAAGCGTGCTTTTAAATAATTAAGTAAGAGATGATATCGTGAGTTATGAGTTACTGATATGAATAACACACTGGCTACCAAGGCGAAGTTCATACATTCGATTATTATCTGGGCTCGTTCCTTTTCACAATTTTTTCTGCGTGAAATATTTCTTCTTTAACCGTTTCCCTTGATCGTTTTTATTGATCTTAGATAAAGATAAAGGTCATTTCGTATGAATTAAAACATTCATTTCCCTTCGTTAAATTCTTGATCGCTATCGTTGCAATGTTCGCTTCCGCGAGGTTAAAACTTTTACACTACACGCTATTTCAGGTCCCTTATACGATCCCATTCGCAGACTTAACAAACACTGTCTTCAAAGTCTGATCATCGAGCGTTGTTTCCTCGATGCGTCCTCGGCACGAACTATCCGAACTCTCGCGTTTTGATCCCTGGGATCTCTCTCGATCCACGGAAAAGTTCTATCTCAGCGTCCGTCCGATTTCAGGGCCGTCGCGAACGTCATGGCCTCTCTTAAAGATTTGGTCGTGTCCACCTGTCTTCTCCGATATATCTCGGTCCGGCCGTGAATAGGAGCACGAGCTCATTCGGCCTCTTAATTGGAATCCTTTTTAAAGAGAAACGCTGAACGCACCTGGGACCGCGGAGGGCAAGAACGAGCCGGTGGACAGGAATAGCGACGGGGAGCGATAAAGCTAGACAAGGAGGCGAGACGGGGAACCTAACAGCAGCGAGAGATAGGCGAAAAAGATGAAAGGGAAAGAGAGAGGACTAGTCGTTCGCGATCGAGACACGCTCATTAGTCGAGGATGTCCCGAGGGTAGGCGGGAGGCTTCGTCGAATTCGTAGGCGATGGATCACTCGATAGTCGAGCCGAGACTTAAGCGATCGTAATGCGCGGCCTCAGTGGAGGCTGCATCGGGAGTGGCCCCGGGGCAAGGGACTTGGGACTTGCATATCGGGTGAACTCTCGCTGCCTCGCTGGGCCTTGCCGATCGCGTCGATTTCTCCCTCCTTCCAGCTTTTATAATGGTCCGGGCAAACGTATTTATCGTGATTTATTGTTTACACGGGTCTCCTTTCTCTCGGGCTCCTCTGTCCTTCTCCCGGCGGCCGGAGTCTCTCTTTCAACGGGTTCTGCGCTAGAGATAGAGGATGCACACCGTGCGATTACGTCCGATGTAAATTATTGATCGTCCGCGGGGAACATTAATATCTAAAACAAATAATGGACCGTTACACCTTCCCTACCCGTGCACCGTCTGCGCACCCTCGAATCGGAACTCCCATTGATACCGAGTTATTTCTTTCCTCTTCTCTTCTTACGCCTGTTGTTTTTCCTTTCGCGGTCGTAAATTATTTTCCGAGTCGCTCTCTCGTGGAACGATTAAGTCCCTTTTCGATCGGCCGACGGTTCGTTGCGCGCCTCCGTCCCCGTAGTCGAGCGAAAATTTCCGCGTTTTCAATTGAGACGCAATTTTCTGCGCGGCTGGCGGAGACGAATGCAAGACGCCGTTAAAACTCTACCTTTACGCAGTTATTATGCCTCTTTACAATGTTTGCAGTACGATCTCGTACGCGGGCTCGCGTGTTTCGTGAAAGGAGGCAGCTCCGTAATTGCTATGCTTTCAGACACGCACGGCACTCTTGTTACGCCGGCACGCTTGAGATCCGATCGACTTGTACTTTCCCTGCTCGAACTCTTCACGGTTTTGTAACAGTATTATTCCACCGAACTGTCGTCCTTTTTTTCACATTATTCGACCATCGTCTACGCTTCTCAAAAAATAAAAAATACATTCTAATTTACTTCGCCATTCTATATAGAAACTCTCGTTTTGCAATTTTAATTACTTTCGTGAGGAAGATCCACAACCTGAATCGAAGCGTTGATCTAATGAAATTGTAATTTATGCTCTTGGTGACTCATTACTGCGTTATTTATTCCACAACATAAATAATATACCTCTTTATACAGGGTGTTCGGCCACTCCTGGGAAAAATTTTTATGAGAAATTCTGGAGGTCAGAACAAGACGAAAATCAAGAATACCAATTTGTTGATTGAAGCTCTGTTAAACAGTTATTAACAAAATTATTAATAAAATTTGTCTACATATACGAATTTTTTTCTCGTGAATGCGTAGGATTTCGAGGTTATATGTATTAACAAAAAATGATTATAATTGATCCCTCCAGCTAAAAATAATTTTTTTAGAACGATTTGAAATTTTTTTGTTTAAACGTTAATAACTTTTTAATGAAGCCTCAATGAACGAATTGATATTCTTGATTTTCGTCTTATTTTGGCCTCTGTAAACAGGGTGTCGCAGCTAACGTGGCCACAAAGTTAGATTTTTTAATTTCACTGTTTATAAAATTGCACGAGTTACGATTATCGGTTCGAAGAGAAGCAACATGGCGCGGGAAAGTCCGATCGAATACGAACGACCTCGAAACGCCCGTATTAAAATTCGCGATAAAATATGCGGAAAAGAACGCCAGTTTGAATACAAATTATTGTATTTCCTTGGCTCGGGGCACGTCGTCTTATTGGCAAATATAACGGGTCGTCGAATCGGCGGTCGTTTTCGAGGGGTAGGTCGCGCGGGACATTAAACTCCGCGGTGTCGCGGCCGGCGCGCATTTTTATGGAAACCCGCCGGCGCCTAAAGCTCCCAGCCTGTGCTATAGTTATCGCAGACACACGCTGCGAATATCCCCACGGGATACTTATGCGGTACGAGGGAGATACGGGAAGACAGGAGGGAGGGCTGAGAGCGAGAAGGAGGGAAACAGACCCACCGGACAGGTGGTCCGTGGCGTACGTTGGCGCATACTCGTTGGCAAGTAAGGCGCCATTAACGGGAGTACAATATCGCGAAAAATCGAAAAACATCTGATCGTTTATCAGCCGGGCCGCGACGAGATGTTCGGTCATATATCATGTCGTGACGGAGATTTTCGATTTATGGATAGAGAATATTTGCTGGCTCACAATTACCGCGACGAAAAGAATCGCCGTTTCCTGCGACGGGTTGGAATGCTCGCCGAGCGGTTGAAAATTCTGGGACTCGTCTGGATGGGAGTTCCTACGCTTCTCTTGGGGAAAATTAATTGTCAATTTCACGCGTGAGTTGGAACATTTTCTAGATACACTATGGCTGATAGCGAAGAAAACGATCCTGGGAGGAATGTAGGCTTTATTGGTCAGACTTTGTACCCCATTCTACCGTAACCAACCGTTAGAACACCTACGGTCCC